GGCCGCCCAGACGCTTCGCCCGCCCGCTGCAAGGGCTTCGCGGCCCTGCCCGTCAGCGGCGCCCGGTGTCTCCCTGCAGATGGTGCACAAAGCCGTGGTGGAGGTGGACGAGTCGGGCACCGAGGCGGCCGCGGCCTCGGGGGCGGTCTTCACGTTCCGGTCGGCCCGCCAGAGCCCTTCCAGGGTGGTGTTCAACAGGCCTTTCCTGATGCTCATAGTGGAGGGCAGGAAGAACATCCTCTTCCTGGGCAAAGTGGTCCGGCCCTGAGGCGGCCTCTCCGCAAGCCCACGGGCCTCCGTGGTGGAGGATAGAGGCCACGGGGCCCACCGTCGGCTGGTAGCTAGTGACTTAAACAATTTAGTTGACTAACGAAGCGTTGCCATAGTACAAAGAATGCGGTGCTGGTGGTGGTTTCCTCCCATACTACCGCGAGACACGGGTGCCTCGGGGAAGCTTGGAGAACATTTGGTCCTGCCCTCGGCTTTTCTTAATGGAGGTTGGCACTGAGGCCCAGAGAGGTTGCTTATCTCACCCAAGCTCACGCAGAGAGAGACCCAGAGTCCAGGCCCCCGATGCCAGTCCAGGGCCTCAGAGCCCCGTGGGAGGGTTGGTCCAGTGACTGAGGGCTGCCGGGAAGCACGAGCCAAGCCTGTTGCCCACCTGTCAGTGACAACTGTCCGTTCCCCACACTAGGATGAGAATCTGGAAGGGGCTTGTGTCTTGGCCCTCACCAGCTGTGTGACACTGTCCCTCTCCGGACCCCAGTTTCTCCCTGGATCCAGCTAGAGACCAGGGCGAGCCTCTGGTCCTAGGACCTCTGAGACCACATGGAGAGGCTGGGGTGTGCCTGCCTGTCACCGTGGATCTCAAAACACTTGGGCACCATTTGTCCCTAAGAGAAACAGCTGGGCGTGAGGCTGGAAACCGCCCAGCGCAGGACAGTCTGATCCTCTGCGTGGTGCGATCGACTCCTGGGCCTGGCCGGGGCGGGAGAGGAGAGGCCCGTTGCCAACAGTGGAGTGTCAGTTGCAGAAACCGAGGTCTAACTTGTTGAGGTTTGTGTGGGCAATAACAATAAAGCATTTTGCAAGCACTGGGTGTCACTGTCTTTACGGAGGCAGCTCTGGGAATGGTGACGCGGACAGCTGGGTGCTGGATGCTCCAGGCTGGGTGCTGGACATTTCGCCTGGGTGGCTGCATGCCCCCCTCACAATCCTCCTGTGAGGCGAGGAGCGGCCATCACCCCATTTTACAGATGGGGAAGGTGAGGCTTGGAGAAAACAAGAGGCTTCCTGAGTCACAGGAAAGTGCGGGGGAGCCGGGATCGGGCAGGGGTATGGCCCCAAGAGCCAAGCGCCTTGCTGCGGAGGAGAATGACCTGGAAACAGAAGGCCTGGTCCAGGGGCATCTCAGCCACGGCTCCCTCGGGACCCAAGAAGCGCTGGCCCTCCCTTCACCAAGCTTGCCGGATGAAGGGATCAGACACATCCAAGGATTGATGGCTCTCCCGACCAGCCATCCCCACGTCTGAGCCCTGCACACCTGCCTGGCCCACCCACATGTTCCAGGCGGCTGTGCCCACCGCTCTGACCCCAGAGTCCGGGCCATGTCACAGACAGGCGCCCGCTGGAAGTAGCGAGGCCAGAACCCCAGGCCTCGACCGTCCCCCAGGGGGCCAAGCACCCCCTGGGGCCACCCACGCCAGACGTTTTGTGTTTGTGATCTCAGGTCTGTCGCTGTCCCTGCTTTACAGAGGAGAGCGTGAGCGCTTGCACGCATTCCCCCAGCTGGTGACAGTGAGTGGCCGGGCTCTAGAACCTGGCGGCAGGGCAGACCGCGGCCACCGGACCCAGGCCGCGCGTCTGCGGCTGTGCTGTGGGCTTGAGAGGCCTTTCAGGCCGGGGCCTCCGCGTGGTCACCCGGCTCCTGCGTGCTTTCCCCCTGCCTCGTGCCTGGTTGTCTTGGCAAGTATCTCTCACTGTTTACCCAGCCAGGCCAAGGTCGGGTGGGGAGGGACATCTGTGTGCCCAGCCGAAGGCCACGGCCCCCGCCGTCCAAAGTTCCCCGGCAGTTCCTGCGGGCGGGGCAGAGGTGGGCTTCGG